TGCACAGTTTGTCTTTATTTTTTTAAAATTTTTAATAATTATAAGTTTCTAAAATAATAATTAACTATAATTATATTTTAGCATAGTTTTTTTTTTATATAATTAGTAGTTTTAAATGTATTAATTAAAAAAAAGTTTAAATTGCAGGGTTGAAAAATATTTAAGCTTAAAAATTTAATCAATTTAATTTTAAAAAAATAAAAACTAATTTTCATAATTTGTTTCTTTATAAAAAAATGATTAGTATACCTTCTAATTTAACACTCTTCAATACCACTCAATTCAGTTATGAAAATATTAGATAATGATGGGTTTACCCTCATTATACACACTCCATTACACTCTTTAATTTCAGTTACTTTTTGTTAATTACACCTTAACTCCGTTACCATCTTCGTTTTCTCTTCTTTGCTGTTTATTGTCCGCACCAGCCAGATCCATCTTCCTCCTCACCTCCATTCTCATCCTCTTCATCCATTATCTCCTTCCTCTTTCTTTTTTCTCTCTCCTCCATTATTCTCCTCCAAGAGAACCCGGTTCTCCATAAGAACCCACGTGGTTTTTCAAGAGAACCCAAATCCAAGTTCTCTTGAAAAAGAACCCATTGGGAAGAAGAAAAAGAAAGGAGGAGGGGGGAAAACAAGATTGAAAATCAAAGAAAGAACCCTCCTCACCTCCATCCTCATCCTCTTCATCCATTATCTTATTTCTCTTTCTTCCTCTTTTTTTTTCTCTCTCCTCCATCATCCTTCTCCAAAGAGAACCCAGATCTGGGTTCTCTTTCCAAGAACCCACGAGGTTTTTTTGGAGAACCCAGATTTGAGAGAAGGAAAAAGAGGGGATGAGAGGGAAAGAAGAAAAAGAAAGGAGGAGGCAAAAGAAGGTTGAAAATCAAAGAACCAAGATGAAATTGCAGGTTTTGGTCTGGTTAGTGAGGATAGTGAACAGCAAGGAGGAGAAAGGAAAGATGGTAACGGAGTTAAGATATAATTAATAGAAAATAACGAAAATTAAAAGATGTAACCAAGTGTGTGGATAATAAGTGGATAATGAAAGTAAACCTATTATTATCCTCAAATATTATATAAATATAATCGATTTATCTAGTTCTGATATCATGTATGTATAACTGTACTTTTAAGTTTATTTATATTTAATTTTAAATTAAAAAATAATAATTTTTTAATGAATATATTAATAGTATGCATATACCAATTAGTGATCTATTATATATTTTT